TTTAAGGACGTTATTATAATATTTCGGTAGTAAATTAATAGAAGTTTGTTTTTGGGAAATTACCACACTTTCCAGACCACCTGTATTCGCCATATGTAATGTCATGTTGTTGCTAATACTTCAAGAGCTTCCGTTGCCATTATTACGTGTTTTGCTGATACCGGTGAGGTTGTTGTTGTTGTTGCTGCTGGCATTGTAATTGTCGTCTAACAGCAGGACATTGTCCGCAATGTGGCAATGAAAAGTTTTGTTGCATACATAACTCACATGCACATGCACATATGTAGCTAAGTATGTACGTGTGTGTATGTCGGTATGAATGTGAATGTCGCGCAGACATGATTTGACTCTTTAAAATTCGATCCTTTAAATCAAAAGCGAGTGCTCAACGAATTTACGATTGTGTAAATGCTCACTACTTCTGTACGCACGATATAAAAAGCACACCATGCCCAGGCAAAGTAATGAATGGGTAAGTGATTACAAACGAACACACATACAAAGAATCGTGAATATGAGGATGACGATGATGATGGCATTGAACATATTCATTTGAAATTTTACTACGACTAACATCGTGTCCATGAATTTTTCCTCGCCTCAATGGTTGGTTGGTCGGTCGGTCATTCATGGAAGTCAGGAGGTATTCTCTGTTTTTTTCCTCCAAAATACGCATCTGTCTATCATTTTGATTCAGTTAACTCTTCAGTTCTCTTGACCACACTGTAAAGGTAGCATAAAGAGCTGCCATATGAGATGAGATGAGCAACCCCATATGCAGTTAATGTAGTTGTGCATCTATGAACGTTTACGACTTATTTTCCGGAAAATTTGACTTGCCTTTTTTATGTCGGTCCCCAGCTCATCAACAGTAGTCAGGCGGCCGGCCGGCCAGCAGTGACTAACGAACGAACGAACACTCACTTCGACGATGTGGCATGAATGTTTTATGTGCTGCCATTTCACATCGAACGTGGATTTTCGCAATTTGACTGCATTAACGTATCATGAGGAATTTGTGTGCGGCGTTTTTTTTTCTCTCAACTTGGTGTGTGTGTGTGAGAGTGCATTAGACATTGGTTGGCTGCTGATGTGGTTTCTAAATGTAGACCAGACAGACAGTTTTGGTCCTGTCTGAGTGATGGACTTATACTTGTTAAAATGGTGTAATTCGAACGTAATATTTGCACTTGCAATGAAAGGTCAAATTAACGCTGAAGTGAATTTGATTTGCCAATAGAAAATGTTCTAATCACAAAAAGGGGCGTACTAATGTGAATTTAATATTTCTCGATAATTTCTATATCTATAATAATATAATATTCTCATACAGGACGCATACAGGACCATTTGTATTATCACATCATCATCTATTTAAAAAAGAGTAGTGAAATAACTAACTGACTTAGAACTAAGGTCCATACGAAACGGCTAAAGCCAAAATCTTGAGATTTTGCACAAGGCCGAGTCTTCGTGCGTAGAAGTGAGTTAAGGCTGAGTCTTTGAAAATTCGTACTAAAAAGGTGTGAGTAGTACTAAAAATTAGCTAGAATTAGCTAGAATTCTAAAAGTTGGAGTGAGTCACCGATGAAGTGCAGGATAGATGTATAATTTGAACATTAGGTTACGAAGAGTTTTGAAATGGTACCATTTGGTATTATGTGAATGGATAGAGCTAAAAACTTGAAATTTGGTATGAGAATCAAGATTGAAAAGTAAAGGAAGTTGGTTTTGAAAATGTGTACAAGTGTGCCAAATGTACTAAATTGTACTCAATTTCGAACACTTAGGTTTACGGTGAACGGATGGAGCTGGAATTTCAAAGTTTTGGCATGGGGATACCTGTTGGAGGTAGGTTCAAGAATTAATGTTTATTATATAAATGTGTACGAAAATTACTAAATGGTAAACAATAAAGTAAGAAGTTAGACATTTTGTATTAGGGTCGCTGTTAATGTGTAGGCTTGACATTGGAGGTGGTTTTTTGTACTATAATTATACTAAAAGTACTAAATAGTACTACATTCTGTATTTGGTCTTAAATCATGAAATTTTATATAATTGTGTTTGTGGTTGAGATTAATGTGTACTACTATATTTGTAAGAAAATTACTAAATTATTTGTTTGGTGAAGGGATAGAGTTGGAATCCCGAATTTTTATATTGAGGTCTCTGTTGGTATCTGGGATTGAGATATAAAGGCGGTTTTAGAAATGTGTACTATAATTGTTCGAAAAGTACAAAACGGTACTAATTTTGATTAAGTCAATTTTATTGAAATCCCTGTTTGTGGTAGAATTGTGATAAAGAAGTGGGTTTTGAAATGTTTTCTGTAAGTGCACCAAATATACTAAATAGTACTATGTTGGGTCCAATTTGGTATTGTTTATCCAATAATAAGAAAATGCTTGAAATCTGTAATGTGGTATTTGGGTCGCTGTTCATGTGTAGCCCGAAAAGTAATACATTTGTTGTTGGTGCTGGAATTCCACAATTTAATATTGAGGTCTCCGTTGGTATCTGGGATCGAGTTGGTTTTTAAAATATGTACTATAATTGTTCGAAAAGTACTAAATGGTACTATATTTGGTATTGGGTAAAGGGGTAGAAATAAAATTATGAAATTTGATACTTAGATAGCTGATGGTTTATATGTTTGAGGTCTGGTGGTGGTTTGGAAATGTGTGCTATATTTGTACTAAAAGTACTAAATTGTACTAAATTTGAAAGCTAAAATTTTGTATTGGTGTGCCTATTGGTGGAACGTTGTAAGAAAAAAAGGACAGTGGGTGAACAGATAGTGCTTGCAAATTTTAAATTTGTATTGGGGTCGCTGTTCATGTGTGGCCTGGAGATATGGAGGTTGGTTCGGAAGTGCGTACTACAATTTACAAAAAGTACTGAATGAAACGATATTTTGCGAATAAAATTCAGAAATATTTAGATTACTGATGGTATCTGTGTTTCAGGTTTGGCGGTGGTTTGGAAATGCTTCCTATACTCTTACTTAATGATACTTATTTTGGATTACACTTAATGTTTAGTTTGTTTCGGATATCGTATATTCAAAATTCGGTATTGTGTGAAGTGATGGAGAGGAAATTCTGATATTTGATATTGAGGCCACGGTTGGAAACTTGGGTTTCCATATAGAGGCGTTGAAATTGAATATTAATAAGGCCTTACACGAACTGTTAGAGCGGATCTAAAATTTTAAGGTGGATTTTCCCGTGACGAAGTAGCGGGTTTGTGGACAATATACTGAAATTGTGTCAAAAGTGCAGATATGAACCAAATTTAAAACAAGTAAAAAACAGTTGTATATCAAAACGTGGACCAATATAGGCGATTTTCTGCCACAGGGGGTAAAAATATAGACAATGTTCTGAAACAGGAGGTAGAACATAACTTTGAATACCGAATTTTTGAACTTTTCCGTCAAAATATCGGGAGTTACAATTATATGGAGGCTATATAGACATATTTCAGTCACAAGAGTTTGAACCTATTACAATATCTAAATACCAAATTTAAAACTATTCTTTTAGAAATTGTGATCAAAATACCGAATATGGGGAGGTACAATTATACGGGGCCAATATGAAAGCGTTGGCCCATATGATTCATCTTCGAACTTGACTGCATGCAAAAGACAACTCAATGCCAAATTTTAGCTTCCAATCACATGCCGTTTGGACTCTAGTGTGATTACAACAGACGGACGGACATGACAAAATCGACTTAGACGTTTACTCTGATCAAGAATATATATACTTTGTTGGGCCTTTGATAATTATTTCAATGAGTTACAAACTTTATATACCGTCCAAATATACAGATATGCTTTTACATTTTTCGCAGAATAATTCGCACTTTATCATATCCGAAGTAGTCATAACCCCATATACTATTTCTGTCAGTATCAAGCAATTCGAGATTCTAACTTCGAAAGGCGCTTTTCCAAAAACAAGGTTATGGCGGAACTCTGATGAAGTCAGACGAAATGTATCTGCCTAGAAACTGACTCATACGTTCCAACTTGTTTTCTTTCTTTTGTTGCTATAAACGGAAGAAAATACAAAGTTATACGATATTCTCACATTTCCTGAAATTTTAAGACTTAATACAACTTTATATAGTTAGAATGACAATTTTTGATCTAAGTACATTTTCAAGAAAAGGGTGTGAAAAACGTTTCCTTCACTACCTTTCAAAGGACACCTATAACACACCTTCGTGCAAATATGTAACTGTGAGCACAAAAACCACTTCGACCATCTTCATAATGAAGTCACAACAACTGACATCATTATGATGTGGTAATACAGCTTGATGTTCTGAAAAAAAAAACTCGAGAAGAATCTTCAACAGAAGCTGTCGTTGATGATGACGGGTGGGTGGTGAGGGTAAAGATTTGAAAAATGTGGAAAACGCTTTGCTTTTTGTGTTTGGCTAAAGGTAACAAGCAGAACAGTAGATAAACATTATGTGATGTCTCGCAACAAAGGTGTAATTGTCAGAAGAGAGAGAGAGAGAAAAAAAAAAAAACAAAGCAGGAAAGGGAAAAAAGAAATACCATCTCGCTATGATTTTTATGATGCCAAGGAAGTAAACTATCGCTGCTGCAGTCGTAGTAACGGAGCCATCATAGCCCCACAAGCTTGGTTGCTGCTGCTGGATGTGTCCTTTTTTTCTGTTGCTTTTGGCTTACCATTCTAATGTCGTGTCTACATTTCTAGGGGTAATTAATGAGCTGTATTTAACTTTTATAAACTGTAACTATGATGCAAGTGGACCATTTTTTCTCTTTTTCGATTTTTTTTCAGATTCGTTTTAGTTGGCATTCATGGCAAGTTGGAAACCATTTCTTATATGTGGTTTATACATTTTCCTCCTTTTACTCTCTCACACACATAGATTTTTTTATGTGTGCAAAATATTTCAAATACTTGGATATTAGAAGTTAGTTAAGTTGAGTTGATTTGAGTAGAGCTACTTACAGTGTATACTCAGGGATATCCTTTTGGAAACCGATGGTGGTACACCATTTGATGCTATGCAGAGATATGAACCCATTTCATTGCGAGAAATTTTTGCTAGTTTCAGTACTTCACCCCGATAAGAGGACACTGTAACGAAGTGCAAAAATAATCATCATCAGAGAGGGAGAGAGAAAAAGTGTAAAGAAGGAGGCGGCCAAAATAAAAGTGTGGTCAAAGTTATAAAATAGTTGAACAAATTATTGTTGAACTATCATTATACGGGTCTTTCGGTTGCAAATTGAATTTAATTACCTAAAGTTTTGGTGCCCACACTGTCTTTGAGAATTATTTCATTTCCATCTTCACGGCGCCAAGTCACAATTGGTTCAGGATAACCACGGGCTCTGCAAATGGGAAGAAAAAGATATGGTAATAAATAATTTATAAATGTGTTACAAAAACGATTTAAAGTAAATTTACAAGAATTCTTTTAAATAACTTAATATTTATTAAAGACACACAGACGGAATTGCTGGGGATACAATTTTGATATTTGGTGTGAATATTATAAGTGTTACATAGCTGAAAGATAATGCGGTTTTGGGTAGATTTTGTGAGACAAAACATTGTTTTTTTTGCCATAGAATGGAGGGCATATTCTTTGGAGAACCTATCAATTTTGCATAAAATATAAAATCTATTAAATGATGCACGTCTGTCTGTTCAAATGCCTGTTGAAATCAAGACAGAGTCCACATAATTTTATGAATAACTCGAAACAATGATGGTTGGAAATTAGGATATATCGCTCCGCATTTATGTGTAGCAACCGTAAACAGTGTCACCTAATTTGCGATGTTTTAGAGGATTTAGTAGCAATTTTCAAATCATAACAATTTATGAAAAACGTGAGCTTCTCAAAACCTGCAGAAAAATGAGAATAGAGACTCATTAGATGGTTATGTCTTATATAGCGGTACATCCTAATATTCGGCATTTCGAAGGTGTCAGTGCCAGTTGCTAACTGATTTGGCTGTAAATTGGAGAATTTGCTTCTCATTAAATAAAAATTTGATAAATGGAAGTGTTTGAAAACTATTTATTATTTCTGTACCCTCAATCATATGGCTAGAGAGGGTATATATCATTTGATAATGCCAAAACGTGCCTCATCGAAATAAAGGTTTTAGACCCTAGGTCTCTTTGGACCAAATCTGTTTCAGGACATTTGAAGTCGATCTAGCGAATGTCCGTCCGCCCGTATTGCTGGCTGGTACGCAGTATAACTCTAAAAAGGAGTGTCCGGATTGGTCAAAACTTGGTGCATCGTAATGTTATTGTCAAACTTAGATCGAGTTCGTATGTGGGAAAAACGGTTTTGGTAGACGAAATTAAAAAAAAAATATTGCACAGAAAGAGAAAGCATATCCCGATTTTGCTCCAACTTTGCAAATCTTAATATTTGCATCAGTGCAAGAACAGGCGCAACAAGCACCTCCCTTTTTTTAAATTAACTTTTATAAAATGTGACGTAAGTTTTCCGTTTTCATATAACTAACATCCCATTATTTCATTAAATTCAATAAAACAGTATATGCAGTGAAGATAGGATATATCGGTCCACTTCTTCTGGCACATCCCCTACAAAGGGTCAACATTTTGTCCAGAAAAGCTCATTAAAAGCGAAGTTCAGACCTGGTAAATCTCAATATTTGTATCAACACAAGATCTGTTATAAAAATAGTACAAATCGGACCATTCCTTTTGGTTCAAGATGTTGAAAAACAAAATCTCAATGAAAAATAATTCTCAAATTTGACACATACTAACATTCTTACTAACACAAGATCTTATGATATACAGGGTGAGATAAAAAGCTGTAACAAAGTAAAACCCCAAATTTTCATATTTGTTTTTAATTTTATTGAATGAAAGCAAAAAATGTCGGAAATGACATCAAATTTTAGAATAAGTTTAGATTTGTTTGAATTGGTCACCTTTGACACTAATTATGGCCTTCAAACTACCAATGAAACCGTCACACGCTGCCCGAATGTTGCTATGAGGCATTCTTGGCGAAGCGATTGCTTGCGGTGATCGACACTTTGGTATTTTTTAGTGCCAACTTGCTTTCCACAATACTCCAGACACAATAGTCCAACGGATTGATATCCGGAGATTTTGGTGGCCATTGTGCGCTGGAAATGAAGCGAGGAACCTCATTTTGTAACCTTTCTTAGGTGCCGCGAGCTGAGTGCGTTGGTGCGGAGTCCTGTTGGAATGTCCAAGGTCTGCGGCCAAATGTTTGCGTACCCAAGGATTTAATACACCCTCCAGATTATTTTCGCAGGCCACGGTCGATTAATACGAGCGGAGAGCGACCATCGGCTGTTATGGCGGCCCACACCATCACCATTACGGGCGTTTGAGTTTTGGTGGCTAACTGCTGGACAAAGAATGTTTTCTCATCGGAGAAAACCAAATTCGGCGCTCACTACTTTCGGCCAAGAGAAGCAACTTTTAAGCTCCGTTGAGTTTATTTTCTTTCTATTGCGGTGTAAGTTCTTGCACTTTTTGAAATTTCAATGGCTTTACCCCGAGCTGATTTTTCAATATGTGCCGAATGGAATATTGCGATATATTCAGCTCACGAGTCATTTTTAGGACACTGCGACGCTTCTTTACATCTGCTGATGTTGCTGTTATCTTCCGTCCACTTTCTTGACGTCGGGCTACGCTACCAGTATCACAGTAATGAGCGGTAACGACACAAGATTTATTCACATTTAAATGCTGGAGTGCTGTAAAGATAGCCACTTGTGGTTTTCCAGTCAAATATAATGAAATCACACTATCATGCTTGAATTTCATCACGAATAACTTTTTTTCTGGAAAATTCCATTTGTGCACAATCAACTTGAAATCGAGTAAAAATATATATATGAGCTATATCCAAATCTGAAATGATCTCGGAAAAATATTTCTGAGATGTATTTGATATATTTCTCCGAATATCGTTGTTACGGAGTGCATATTACGGCTGTGGAGGAGAAAATTAACAAATCGGAAGAAGGCTTAATTTGGTCGTATATGCAAAATTCCATACTATTTAGGCTGATATTGCACGTTTGGTGCACAATAAAAGGCAAATCGGACGAAAATAAATATAGGATCGATTATCTCCAATTTCAATAGGGTTCATACAAATAACTTGTGCAAAATTTCATGTTTACAAAAAATCATGGACAGACAGACCTATATGCACAAATCGACTCAGAATGTGATTCTATGCATATCATCAAAAGGAACTATGGGTTAATCTCGTTTCCTTTTGCCTGTTACAAACAAATTCAAACAAGTAAAAAAGTGCAAATTCTTTGAATACCCTCCACCATTTGGGACGAATTTGGCAATTTTTAAAAACGATAAAATCAGTTAATTAATGTAGTTGTTATATTAGGGTCTATAGGACGACATGGACCTGCATAGGTAACTTTTGTTATAAGCCATTACAATATTCAAATGCGAAACTTAAAAAAAATCGGTGAATAATGTAGCTAAAATCATCAAAATACCGAATATCTGGAGGTACCATTATATGGGGGCTATACGAAGACGTGGACCTGCTCAGACAATTTTCTGTCTTAGGCTGTAGTATTCATTACGAACTTCAAATACCAAATTTGAAACAATTCCGATGAATGATGTCGATAAAATCATCAAAATACCGAATATCGGGATGTATCGTTATATGGGGGCTATACCAAAACGTGAACCTACATGGCCCATTTTCAATACCAGAAGTCCTGCAAAGATAATGTACATTTGAGTACAATTTTATTGATCTACTTCATTTCGTTCGGAAGCTAGAGTGATTTCCACAGACGGACGGACATCGCTAAATCGACATAGAATTTTATGCTGATTAAGAATATATATACTTTGTGGGGTTTAAAATGTACATTTCGAGGAGTTACAAATGGAATGACAAACTTAATATACCCTCCATACAATGGTGGAGGGTATAAAAAGACATGATACCCTGACCATCTTGTGATATAGGGTATAAAAAAATCAAATAAATATTAATAAATAAACATTTATGGAAATTAATGGAATTTGTATATGTCAATAAGACGTAACGGTTTTTATGATATATTCATTATTAATCCCAAAATTATTATACAATTACCTAAGCGGCATGTGAACTTTAGCTAATCGTATTAACATTTATTATTCCAACTACATTGAACGAAATTTCTCTGGCTAGTTTTATTTCCGCTTCGACTGGTGACAGCTATTTTTACAGCTACGTTTTTACGAGTGTTAATTAAATAAAAAGCCTTCTGCGAAAGAGCCAAAGAAAATTGAGCAAAAGACGACATCAAGCAGAAGATTGTTGATGGCATTAAAGCAGATTTTTATAGTTACAAATAACATAAATCAACAAATAAAGCTAACCAGAATCCATTGAAAATACACACTCCAGCAGTGGTTGGAAGGCTGGCAGGCAGACAGACAGACAGAAAGAGAGAAAATAAACTGACCCGTACGGGTTGTAAATTTTCCGTTTGTGTGAGTTTGGTAGGGTCGACAACAATATACGAAAATAAAATAAATGTTTTTATGGCCTTTTTCTCGCACTTTATCGCTCACACCATTCTTCGTAAGCACTCACACACACACATACTCTCTCATATTAAACAACCCAAACGGCATTGAGTTACTTAACCTCCGACCTCCCCGAGTGGGACTGGAGTCAAAGCAACAGTGATCAACTACCAACCGCAAAAAGTAAGGAAGTGAATAACACGGAAACGTAAATCAAAAAGAATGAAGTGTCATTTAATTTGTTGACATTACTACCCAAAAAGGAGAAAGGAAAAATGAAAAAAAAAAAAACAACAACGGCCAAACAAAGGACAATATCGACCAACTTGTATTTTGTGGCCAACAATCACATCTCGAAGACCAATGACTGGTAAAAAAAAGCTTAAAAAAGAAAAAAAAAAAAAAACAGAAAACGAAATCCAGAAGATTACTTAACGATAATGCGTTAAAAACTTTGTCCAACTTGTTCGACTGTTGGCTATGGTGTGTAAAACAATAGCAAAGGATTTGTCTTGGACTAACACCACCCCCATCCCCAACCCCTACCATTGGCCCGACTACAGAAATGAATGGTGGCATGAAGTGTCGCAGATAATTCCAAATGATTAGTATAGATTTTCACAAGAATGTAGATAATAGTAATGGACTCTGGCATGTTATTGCTGTCGTTTCATTTGCTGCTTTCCGGACTTTATATGAGACGTTCTAGAGTAAAAGGAGAACAATTGACTTTCGACGTTGTAGAGAGTTTATCAAGGGTTTTCCATAGATTTGATAAAATTTATTTAGGTGTATTGTGGTTTCGATCTACCTCAATTTATCTGGGGCATTATATTTAAGAAAATTTATAAGGATTTTATCAAAGCTATGTCTTAATCTGAGCTGAGATTTCTCAAGGAATCTGAACTTGAATTTCAGTAATACATGAGTCCACTGTCTCCTGAATCATTCGAAATTTGTAATCTACAACTAAATCTAGTCTACTACACGATTTTTGGTATATCTATTCTATATGTGGATTTAAATAGCTCAATGAGTCTAGATAATTAATCTCCCTGTAAAACTTATTTAATTTGGTTTTCTCCATTTATAGGTCTAGAATAACAGTAGAGACCTAGGAAATTAAAAAATACGATATAAGTTAAAGCCTAGTATAGCTCGGATTAATTTTGCAAATGAGAATTTGAACTGAATTTTCATCAACGCCCAGGCGAAACTTTTTTTACCAACGCGTAGGCGAAACAGCTGTAGCTGGAATCTTAAAATTTTACATATACAGGGTGAGATAAAAAAACTGAAACAAAGTCAAAAGCCATAATTTTTACTTTTTTTAATTTTATTGAATGAAAGCAAAAAATATCGGAAATAGCATCAAATTTTGGAATAACTTTAGATTTGTTCGAATTGATCACCTTTGGCACGAATTATGACCTTCAAACGGCCAATGAAACCGTCACACGCTGCCCGGTATTTTCGCCCATTTCCGGCGAAGCTCTTGCTTGAGATGATCGACACTTAGGGATTTTTTAATGCCAACCATGCTTTCCAAAATACTCCAGACACAATGGTCTTACGAATTGGTATCCGGAGATTTTGGTGGCCATTATGCGCTGGAAATGAAGCAAGTAACCTAATTTTGCAACCATTCTTGGGTGGCGCGTGCTGAGTGCGATGGTGCTGACCCTGTTGGAATGTCCAAGGTCTGCGGCCGAATTGTTAGCCCAAGACTTTAATACACTCTCCAGAATATTTCGCGATAATATTCGGCATTTATTCTAATGCCACGGTCGATTAATACGAGCGGAGAGCGACCATCGACTGTTATGGCGGCGTACACCATCACCATTGCCGGTGCTTGAGTTCTCGTGGCCAACCGAAGGTGCACATTTTTAGCTGACCTCTTCGGCAAGTAAACACGATCATTTTGTTTGTTTACAAACTGCTGGACATCGAATGTTTTCACATCGGCCAAGCGAAGCAACACTTTAACTCTTTTGAGTCTATTTTCTTTCTGTTGCGGTGTAACTTCTTACACTTTTTGGAATTTCAATGGCTTTATCCCGAGCTCATTTTTAAATATTTGCCGAATGGAATATTGCGATATGTTCAGCTCACGTGCCATTTATCGGCCACTGCGACGATGGTTTCGACCAAGTAGCTTCTTTACTTCTCGGACCATTTCTGCTGATGTTGCTGTTTTCTTCCGTCCACTTCCTTGACGTAGGGCTACGCTAACAGTATCACGGTAATGAGCGATGGTACGAGACACAAAAGATTTATTCACATTTACATGTTGGAGTGATCTAATGATAGCCACTTGTGGTTTTCTAGCCAAATATAAAGAAATCACACTATCACGCTTAAATTCCATCACGAATAACTTTTTTTATGGAAAATTCTCACCAAAATGCTTTTGTGTGCTTGTAAACAATATAATGAGCTGTCACAGGAATAATTTTAACAGCTATCGGATGAGTGGCTTAGAAATGAGTGCAGTCTGAAGTTGATTGCAATTTTTTTATCTCATCCCCTACTGTATATTTATTGGGCGATCTGAATTGGAATCTTCCACAGAGCTGAGCGGTATCTTGATAAAAAAAATCATTTGTTTGGTCTATGGACGAACCCTATTGAAATTGGAGATAATCGGTCAAAATTTAGATATAGCTCCCATATATACCTTCGATTTGCCTTTTATTGTGTACCAAACGTGTAATATCAGCCCGGATAGGACATACAACCAAATTAGGCCTGAAAATAAGTATGCCAAATTTGATTGAAGACGGTTCACATATAGCTATAGCTTCCTCCGTAACCGTAATATGAACTCTGTAGCAACAAAATTTGGAGAGATATATCAAATACAGCTCAGAAATATATTTGCTAAATTTTATCGATAATGGTTCAGATTTGGATATAGCTCCCATATATAACTTCGTCCGATTCAACTTTTATTGTGCACTGAACGTTAAATATTTGTCCAAATGGGATGGCACATACGACCGAATTGAGTCTAGAAGCTAGTATGTCAAATTTGGTAGAGATTGGTTGAGATATAGGTATAGCTCCCATATATAATGTTCATCCGATTTGTTATATTTGTTACCCACAGCCGTAATATGCACTTCGTAACAACGATATTCAGGGAAATATATCAAATACAGCTCAGAAATATCTTTGCCAAAGTTTATGGAGATCGGTTCCGATTTAGATATAGCTACCATATATCCGTCGGACCCGCCCGACTTTAACACTTTCTTTACTGTTTTTATACTCTCAGCCATATGGCTACAGAGGGTATATATCATTTGATACGGTCAAAACGTGCCTAGTCGAAATAACGGTTTTAGAGCCTAGGTCTCTTTTGACCAAATCCGTTTCAGAACATTTGGAGTCGATCTAGCGATGTCCGTCCGTCCGTCTGTCTGTCTGGCTGGTGCGCACGATAACTCTCGAAGGGATTATCCGATTTGGTCCAAACTTGGTACATCGTAATATTTTTGTCAAACTTAGATCCAGTTCGGAGATGGGTAATATCGGTCCACTCCTTCTGGTACCTCCCCCACAAAAGTTCGAAATTTTCAAAAAAATTAAATTTTTGCACAGAAAGAGAAACGGTAATCCGATTTTGCTCCAACTTTGCAAATCTTAATATTTGCGTCAGTGCTAGGTCAAGTGTGAAAATGGACAATATCGGTCCACTCCATCAAGTACCTCCCCCACAAATGGTCAAAATTTTGAATAATTACATCTCTTATAAAATGTGATATAAGAGTCCGATTGTCATCAAATTTCACACATGCCAATATTTATGTTAACCCAAGGTCTGATGTTAAGATGGAATATATCGGTCCATTCCTTCTGGTACCTCCCCCACAAATGGTCGAAATTTGAAAAAAACATATATTGTTTGCACAGAAAGAGAAACGATAATCCGATTTTGCTCAAATTTTGCAAATCTTAATATTTGCGTCAGTACTAGGTCAAGTGTGAAAATGGACAATATCGGTCCACTCCATCAAGTACCTCCCCCACAAATGGTCAAAATTTTGAATAATTACATCTCTTATAAAATGTGATATAAGAGTCCGATTGTCATCAAATTTCACACATGCCAATATTTATGTTAACCCAAGGTCTGATGTTAAGATGGAATATATCGGTCCATTCCTTCTGGTACCTCCCACACAAATGATCGAGATTTTCAAAAATATATATTTTCTGCACAGAAAGGGAAGCAATTTCGCACATACAAGCATTTTTGCTAACACCAGATCTGTTGTGAAGATGCTATATATCTGCGAACACTTGCTGGTACCTCACCCACAAAGGGACACAATTTTCAATATTTTTATCTGTCATAAATTGCAAAAAAAAAAAAACTCAGAGATTCTTTACAATTGATTTATCCATCTGCTATTATAATATTTATATCATATTCATTTATGTCCGATACGAAATTAACAATATTGAACCATTCTTTCAAAACCCACTCCATAGAGGGTGAAGAGGGCTGAAGGTATACATCTGTCGGCAAAACCGACTGATACTTTTTTACTTGTTTATTTAATTTTGGGCAAAATCATAAAAATACCGAATATTGGTACTATGTTACTATCATAAAGGGGACCTGGACCTTTATAGACAATGTTACGATACAAACTAGAAATACCAAATTTTAGACAAATTTGACTATAGTAAAATTTAGACATTTTTTGCCACCGAAGAAGCCGTTACAAACAACAATTTCGTGAAAAATGTGGCTAAAATCATCAATATACCAAATACCGGTAGGAGGTTTTATATGGGGCTATTTGAAAACGTATCCGAGACATAATTGGCATATGATGTTATACTAAACATGAGTATTTTGGTATTATAAACGGAATCACAAACGTTCTTCTGTGCTATTTGTAATATACACATTAATCTTTAAGATTTAATAATTTTTCTTGTCAATTGCTTCTGAACCACCTCATATGGCTGCCGTTCAAATCGTATGTAATAAATATAAATGTTTTTATATTTGTCTCATTTAAACTCAGTTGACTGGAGGTTAGACCATTTCATTTGCAGTCTTTGTTTTGTGATAATGGCACTCTGTGTGAGTGTATGTGTGTGCCTTTGTGTGTGTCTGCGAGTTAGTTGCCAATTCACTTTTGGAAAAATTTATTGGCCTAATTATGTGTGTGTTAATTGAATTATGTTGTTTTAATGAGTCTTTAATTTGTGGTCAGTCTCTGTCATCTGTAATGGAGTGCCGTTTCATTGTCTGGCAAATGAACGTCTGTTTTTTCAATTTTTGAAAAATTTCAAACTAATTAAATATGTTAAATAAGTTATGTTGATGGCTTTGTTACCACGAAGTGTTAATTATTTAATGACTAATTTTAAAATCCATATGCAATTTTATAATAAATTATAGATGTATGTCGATGTGTGGTGTCATTTAACTTACCTACATGTCAGCCGAACTGCACTACCTTCGGGTACAATGACATCAGATGATGTGTCTTCTGTTACGAAATCAGGTGGTATTACCACATCAAGGTAACCGATCTGTAAAAGCAAAAAGAGGAGGTTATTAGAAGATATATCGGAAATGTTAATTAAAATTAATTTTATAACTTTTGTGAAATCAATCTTTATGGCAGAATGACATTTTTTTATCCCGAAATAAGAAAAACTGATCAGTTTTGGACGATTTTGATCCAATTTGTTGGTTTTATTCAGGATTCTCTGAACGTTATTATTTTAAGGTAACATGAGATACACCACCAAAGTAATACAGTTAGATGAAAAAACTGCAAGCAACTTCAGACTGCTGTCATTTCTAAGCTACTCGTCCGACAGCTGTTATATTTATTTCAGTGACAGCTCATTATATTATCTACAAGCGCATAAAAGCATTTTGGTGAGAATTTTCCAGAAAAAAAGTTATTCGTGATGGAATTGAAGCGTGATAGTGTGATTTCTTTATATTTGACTAGAAAACTACAAATGACTATCGTTAGAGCACTCCAGCATTTAAATGTGAATAAATCTTTCGCGTCTCATACCATTGCTCGTTACCGTGATACTGGTAGCGTAGCCCGACGTCAAGGAAGTGGACGGAAGAAAACAGCAACATCTGCAGAATTGGTTCGAAAAGGTAATGAAGCGACTTGATCGAAACCCGTGTCGTAGTGGCTTAAAAATGGCTCGTGTGCTGAACATATCGCAATATTCTATTCGGCAAATATTGAAGAATGAGCTCGGAGTAAAGCCACTGAAATTCCAAAAAGTGCAAGAACTTACACCGCAACAGAAAGAAAATAGACTCAAAAGAGTCAAAGAGTTGCTTGGCTTCGCTGAAAGTGGTGAAATGGCGAATTTGGTTTTCTCCGATGAGAAAACATTCGCTGTTCGGCAGTTTGTAAACAAAACAAAATTATCGCGTTTACTTGCCAAAGAGGTCAGCAGAAAATGTGCACCTTCGGTTGGCCACCAGAACTCAAGCGCCGGCCATGGCGATGATGTGGGCCGCCATAAGAGCCAATGGTCGCTCTCCGCTCGTATTAATCGATCGTGGCATCAGAATAAATGCCGAATATTATCGCGAAAATATTCTGGAGTGTATTAAAGCCTTGGACACGCAAACATTTTGGCCGACTGCAGACCTTGGACATTCCAACAGGACTCAGCACCATCGTACTCAGCACGTGCCAACCAAGAACGGTTACAAAATGAGGTTCCAATCCCTTCGACTATTGTGTCTGGAGTATTTTGGAAAACAAGTTTGACACAAAAAAATGCCAAAGTGTCGATCATCTCAAGCAAGCGTTTCGTCGAGAATGGATTAAAATACCGCAGAGCAATATTCTGACAACGTGAGACGGTTTCATTGGCCGTTAGAAGGCCATAATTCCTACAATTTGATTCTATTTCCGACATTTTTGGCTTTCATTCAATAAAATTTAAAAAAAAAATGTAAAAATTATGGCGTTTGACTCTGCTGCAGTTTTTTATCCCACCCTGTATATATTAATTAAATCAGGGAAACACCGGATGTGTATTTACAAAAACGATGTAAAACGGCGTTAAGTTCAGTCAGACCTAATTTTTTATGCCCTCTATCATATTAATTTATAACTTTTATGAAATCAATTATCTTTGGTTATTTCAAATCCGAAGCTCTTTGTGGCAGAATGACATTTTTTTTATCCCAAAATAAGAAAAAAATGATCAGTTTTGGACATTTTTGATTCAAATTGTTGGTTTTATTCAGGGTTCTCCGAAAATTATTTCAAGGTGTCATAGGATAAATCACCAAACTAATATATATACCTTCATAATACGTTGAAAGGTCCAATTATTATATATAAACATTGTTTAAATTTTAGATTTATTTCCATCTATATAAATGTATTACCCAGTATCCCTCCTCCCAACATTGACCACTTTCTAACCTTGAATTTTGTTATTCCATTGAATTCATTTCGAAAGACTGCTTACATCTTCTTACATTGGATTACATATCACATTTGTACAATAAACTTAACCCCACTTCAAATGATTATTGTGTAAAATATATGCTTATGCTATCCCACACCACCCCTCTACCCATCTATTATCCCCCGAGATGTCCAGTTAGTTACGATTCATGTCCAGTCATACATACATAAATATGAAGGTAAAAATAGATGTTATTCTACGAAAGACGATTACAAACTTTACCATTACCAAGCGGCTACATCGAGTGAAGGACATTTCGAAAAAAAAGGACAAACATGAAAAATATTGTGTTCACACACCACACATATGTTAGTAAGAGTTTATATATGTATGGACCCTGTGAACACACACACACACACACGTAACATATATTAGCAAGAGTTTATATATGTATGGACCCTGTGAACACACACACACACATTCATACGATAGTGTATGTATTTACAATTTCATTCCATTATGTTGATATAAAAATTAAGGAAGCATGAAATACATTTTATTGGCACCATAAACTACGCTTCGTTGGTCATTCAAGTGTTTATGTTTATTTAAGATTTTTGTTGTTGTTGTAGTTTTCCCTTTTTCCTCTTCTGTTATGTTATTTTGTGACCAGAGTGTTGTACCGGAAAGTGTACCACAAAATACGTAAGGCATTTAATGTTGGTTTTTTGCAACAACATTGACAGTTTTCTCTTGTTATTTAATCAATATTTGGGAATCAAGTAAGGGTGAAAATGAACTCTTTAAAATATACAACAAGGTGAAACATTCTTGAGTATGAATTGATTAGTACTTTCAATTCTTGGCTATGGCTTCTTTGTTAATAAATATACTACGATTGGAATAAGCAATTTTTCCAAAATAGGATTTTTTAATTCTGTTCATATCCACATCTCTAACAAAGTTATAAATTATTGCAATTAATTTACATGGAAGAAGGACATTGAATATTTTAACTTAAATTTAGGTATTTAAAAAAACATACCATCCAAGTAAACAATTAATATTTTAATTGTACCCTACAGCAGTACTCTGAGTATTTCAGAATATTTTTTTCCGGACCTGGAGTCTTATTCCATAAAAACGATGACGATTATCTTTACTTGATAAAAGTTTTAATTTCACAGTTTCATAAAACAAGAATTGAGCCCTGTTTACTATTGTGTAGCTTTTAATTACTTAAATACAGTCATAATTGAACTGGTAACACCCAAAGCTTCCCTTCAACGTTTTGCTACTAATGTTCAGAAATAATTTAATTTAATATAAATAATTATTAAAAAAAACATTTCTTAAAAAAAAAAAATCTGAACCACTTAGTTATTTCCAATATTAGCATTAGATATTACTACCTGTGATTTTTTGCATGTTAAATAGAAATACCTTCCGGAGCGAACACTCTAAAATTAATTTATTAAAAAATCTTAAAAGCAAAACTTTAATAGAGCCACGACTCGAGAATGTTCAAAGAGTCCTTGAAAAATACTTTTAATAAAAACTCCACAAAACTCTTTGGAAGCAGTAAGTTCTTAAGGAGGAGGATTTTCTTTCCTCCTAAAAGATTTTATTTTCAATAAAACACAATAAATAGTAGGGAAGTTTTTGTAATTATTAAATCCAGTAAAAAAAGGTCAAAAGTCGGGTGGAGCCGACTACATGATGCCCTACACAACTTTGCATATCTAGTTGTGCTACCCGCAAAAAACGTTTATATTGGCAATTCATGTGAGTGGAAAAAATCCATCCAATTTAGACTGATATATATTTAGTGAAGTCGGATAAAAATATGTATGGAAGCTATATTCAAATCTGAATCGATCTCCATAAAATTTGGCAGATGTATTTCTGAGCTGTATGAGATATCTGGTATCAAATATCATTGTTTTGGAATGCATATTGCGAATGTGTGGGACTTAAACACCAAATCTGGTCAAACCAATAAATAGGAGCTATGTCTGTATCTTAATCGATTTTCACCAAATTTGAAATACTTGCTTCTAGGCTGAATTCGATCGGCTGTGCCGAAATACATCCTAGCTGGTGATTGTGAAAAATCTCAGTATAAATCGACTCATAATGTGATTCTATAAATATCATCAAAAAGAACTATGAGTCAATCTCGGTTTCTTCTGCATGATGCAAAGAAATGCACAAATACCCTGCCTCCTGTGCATCAGTGTTGCGTAGGGTACAGATTTTTTATAAAACCATAATTCCTGTTGACAAACTTATTTAATTTTTTTTATTGTTATGTTAAGATTATTCGACCTATATCTTTATATGCATTTTTTTGAAAAATATTTTTTATAAATCCACAAATTAATGTGAAACATCCTTAAATAGAAATTGGAAAAATTTTATCGATAAAACCACAATTTTTGATGTGAAAACAGTTGAAAATTATTTTTCATAAAACCACGATTCTTCTTTAAAAAAAAGTTGTTATGACTACGATTCTTGATGAGCAAAACCCTTGATTTTTCATGAAATCATGATTCGTAGTAAGACAGTCCTCGAAAATATTATTATTACATTACGAGTTTTAGTGAATAAGCCCTAGAAGATATTTTTATGAAATCACAAAATATAATACTATTTTAAATAAAAGCACCATTCTTGGAAGTCTTTGAAACGTATTCTTATTTAAACCACCATTCCTGGTGAAGAACTATCTGGAGAAGGTTTGTTATAAAACTACGATTTTTGAAAATATTTTTTATAAAAGCACGTTTTTCTACGAAAATATGATTTATTAAATTAAGTTTCCTAGCGAAGTTCTATAAAAACAGGTTTTTATAAAACCACAATTCTTTGTGGAAAAGTCCTTGAAAATATTTTTTAATAAACCAAAATTTCTCGTGAAGTTAAATAAATTAAAAAACCACTATTCTTGGTGAGAGAGTCCTTAAAAATATATATATTATTAATAAGAACACTATTCTGTTTTTGAAAAATGATTTTTTATAAAACCACGATTCCTGGAAAAAGACCTTAAAAATAGTTTTTATAAAATAAATTTAATTTTTCTTATCATAAATCTTGAGGAGATATCCTTGAAAACATTTTTTTTTAAATCAAAATATATTTTTAATATGACCACTATTCTTGATTCAAAAAATCCTTGAAAAATATATTTTAATAAAAACAAGGTCCTTGGCGCAAAGGCCTTAAAAAAATGTTATGAAATCACGATTCTTGGTAACACATCTTTTGAAAAAATATTTTTAACAAATGTACTATTTTGTGTATTGTTCTTTAAAACATTTTAAAATTCCACGATTTCTGTGAGGAAGTCCTTGATCAAAAATATTTTAAATAAAACCATGATATTTATAGAGAACAACGAAACGAGTCCTCAAAAAAAAAAAAAAAAATAAATAAATAAATAAATAAAAAAAAAATAATGATAAAATAATAAAAAAAATTGAAAAACGAATAATAAAAAAATTGAAAAACGAAATAAAACTGCTATTCTTGCAGAGAGAAAAGAATGTGAGAAAATACTTAAAAATATATAAAATAAGTTTTCTTTCTTATTTTATTTTGGCTTGAGGTCAGTAGAATAAAAAACAATTAATTTTGTTTCATCATTGACACTGAATTTGTATGAATTTGTAAAAACATAAAATTCACAATGGAATGTGAATCGGACCTCCAATTACCATACCTTGACGCTGTTGTAATAAGACAAGGCAACCTTCTATTTCTAGGCTGGTATCAAAAACCTACGTCTTCAGGAAGATTAATAAATTTCCATTCCAAACATCCACGTAGAATCAAGGTAAATACAGCCACTAACTTTATTCAGAGAGTTCTAAACATCAGCGACGTCAAATTTCATTCTGATAATATTAACAAAATCAATAATATCTTAAAGATGAACGATTTCCCTGAAAATACGATTAACCAACTTATAAGACACGTGAGATACAAAAGACTGGACAATATTGAACAAAAACCAGAAAAAAATTTACAAACCTTCCACTTATATACGTGGCTTTTCAGAACGTTTCTCTTATTCAAATTTGTACAATAAAGAAAAATATCAGTTAGCATTGAGAAGTACCAACACTAACAACAATTTTTTCAGCAGAACAAAATCAAAAACTCCTCAAGATGACAAATCCAATGTTGTATACAAAATAAAATGCAATGGCGACGGATCCAACGTATGCAATAAAGTATATGTTGGGACAACAAAAACAAAATTAAAAACAAGGTTAAGTGGTCATAAATCTTACCAAAAAGCTAAAGACAAACCTCTTGAACAGAAAACAGCACTTGCCGCACACTGTGCAACAACCGGACATACTCCTAATTTTAAAAATGTTGACATATTAACACAAGAGAACAATTACAAGCGAAGATACATGTTGGAAATGCTTTACATAATTAATGTCCCTATTGAAAATAGAATGAATTACAAATCAGACACAGAACACTGTGCGCAAATTTATAGAAACACAATAGAAAGACACCGAAAAGTTTAGTCTGAAAATCTCTGTAATGTGATGTGGAAGTGAAATTGTTTTTAAGAATATAAACAAATGTAATTATTATAATTGTTAATTATGTTTAAAAAATTTTTAAAATATTTAAATGCATGTTATTTGTTTTTTAAAGTTCAATCCCTGATGAAGATCGTCGATGCCGATCGAAATATTGGAAATAAAATTATGAAACAAAATAAAATAAGAAAGAAAACTTGAGTCCAAAGGTCAACTAAAAAACCACACAAACATATAAAATAAGGATATTAAAAATATCTAAGATTCTTTGTGAGGAAATCCAATAATTATATATTCAATTCAACTAACAACCTTGATATTTGTTGGAGAAGACCTTGAAAAACATTTCTTATAGAAACTAGATTCATGGCCATAAATATATAAATATTTTATATAGAACCGACATTCAAAGCCAGGAACACCTTAAAAGTTCATAGAAAACGATTAAAATTTTGTTTTAATAAAACCAAGATTCTTGGCCAAGAAGTGCTTTATAAAATGGGTTAAAAGTTTGTAAACAGGAACTTTTTAAAAATATCCTACAAATCTTAGAACTTGGTCAAAAAAAAAAATGAGATCAAATACTGATCCGATTTCTCTAAATTAGAAGCAGTTGTTTGAAATAGGATATTTGCCTAACCTAAGTTTTATTCAAAAATAACAATTTAGTTGTGAACTCTATTCGCTTTACATTTGATTTGTGATGTTTATCCCCGAAGGATTTGTACTTCACTCATCTTCACACGATGAGCGTAGCTTGGAAAAAATGGGATTTAGGGACACATTTCTGATTTGTTAGTTATGTTGAACTTCTTTGGGAGATGCATAGAAAAAGCCGGTCAGTGTTATCCATTTATCTGACGTAAGTCTGTTATAAATATTACGGTATGACATATTTAGACCATATCAGGCACTTCGTCGTGTTAATATCTGCTATTTTTTTATTTAGATTTTTTTGGATTGCAGCGAAATTGCCCTTACCAAAAATCTTAGTCTGATATGAAATGTTACAAATATGTAAGGAAATACTCGAGATTTAAGTAATCAAAAAATTGGATATTATGCTAATTTTTAATCTGAACATATTTTTGATATACTGTCCCCGTATGTCCCAATTTATTAAGAATTTTGAATACGTAGGGTCAAAATTACAAGCTATAGTTAAATTAGAGAAAAATATATGTGGTAGGCTAAATAAAAAATCTGAATGGATCTTGTCATATTAGGTTTAAACACGAACTAGCTTGGATTCCAAGAGTTCTATATCTGAACATATTTTTAGAGATTACCAGTTAGCCTGGACATTTTGAATTTGAGAGTGATCGTTCCCAAATTGTTGTGGTTTTTAAATGTCACATCTTCCAGCCAAAGCTGTTGAAATTTTATGTTTTGAAATATTTTTTCATGATATTTGGTGCCAAAAAGAGAATTCAAATTTTTAAGCGTTTAAGGGTTCTGGTCACACATTTCATATTTTGAAGTATTAGCAGGTATAACATATCGTCGCAAAGATGCTTTCAAAAAAAATCAAAAAACTAAATCGTAGAAAACACAAATGGTTCAATGTTCATCATTATTAGCACAAGGACACTATTGGGATATCTTTAAATGTTAGAGATTTTGAGAACAACCGATGTGACGCTAATTAAAATCTTCCAAAAGAGGGTATAAAATTGGCACTTAACTCTTTTCAAAACCTCAACCATAGATTTTCATTCCGTTTGTAACACTTCGAAATATTCATTTTAGACCCCACATGGCATATATATTCTTGATCAGCATAAAATTCTATTTCGATTTAAGGTTGTCCGTACGTCGGTGAAAATCACTCTAACATTCGAACGAAATGAAGTAGGTTGACGAAATTTTATTCAGATGTGTGTAAAGTCTAAGCATGGACCATATTTTATAGCAAAGCATGGACCATATTTTATAGCAAAAGTCCTGCTATAAAATATGGTCCATGCTTTGGTATAGCCTCCATACAACTGTACTCACGATGTATTTGCACTTCCTAATAAGTACTACGGACTTTAAAAGAAAATTGCCCATGCAGATCCAGCTCTTCGTATAGCCCCCCATAAAGGGTACTTAGCTATTTTCGGTAATTTTTATGATTTTAGCAATATTTTTCAACGGAATTTTTTTAATCGTGTAAATTCCTTTCAAATGGTTCAAAGTTCCGATCGACCAAACTTTCCTGCTATTAAAACCTACAGCTTAAAATAAAATATTTTATAATATTAAATTATACAAATATTTTGTCATTATAGAGGATACAGCCGTTTCGCCTTGGCCAAAACTGACTCTATTTTTACTTGTTTATTATTTTGTCTTAAACACATATTTCAATGCTACTTACCTGACTCTTCATGGGATCCGTATTCAATTGACACATATAACCGCCGCGATCCTCTTCGGTTACTGCCCGTATGTGGAGATTCCATGTATTCTGATCCAAATGACTGACTGTCACACGGGAATTATGGGTTATGACATTCTCGTGTATGGCCTGAATGGCTTTCGTATCGGCTTTGAGCCAACCAACCTGAACACAAAAGACCAGAAAAAAAAAAAAAAACATAAATACGCATACACACACACATGAAAGATATGAGAGAAAAACACCAAAAACGTATGAATGCACATTTTGGGAAAATAAATGAGTTTGTTGAACTCCGACAGAAAAAAAAAAAAAAAAAACAAAAAAGCGAAAAGAAAATGCATTGTGTTTCATATTGTTGTGGTTGTTGCATTTTTTTTGCTTGATTGCAGTATTTCTACGCTACGTTTCTTCAAACTATGCAGGAGCGTTTGAGCTGAGTGTTTTTGGCTTCGTGTATGTATGTACGGAATATGAATATGTGAAAAATGTACCAAAAATGATTTACTGCCACAACATGTTGTTGACTTTTTTGTTGCCTACAAATGTATGAGTATGTCAGAGTCGAGTGCATCTATGTATGTGTCTGAGTTTTTGTTTATATGTATGTGTATGCAAGGTTTGTCGGAATTGTGTTTTATAATTGATGTGTTATTAAGTACTTTTTCTCATACACATATAATGAGTGAATGTGTGTGTTTGCGAGTGAGTGTGCACGTGTATTTGTTCAGAAATGTTCGAGGCAATTATTCATAAAAAATTCGATAATATCTGCATGTGTATGTTAATATTTATAAATGTATGTGCGTATGTCTGTCTGTGTGATATTTATGTTGTTTGGTAGATATGTGGCCTCTCTTGGCCGGATGGTTTACAACTTACCCTATAGCCTCCCAAATGTCGCACATGACATGTGAATGTGGCATCCCGACCCACTGGTACCGAGACATTCGATATGCTTTCAACGAATTCCGGCTGGAATGCAGCAATTTCTGCAAAATAAAATGAAAACAAAAATATGTTTTTTAATTTAATTTTCAATAAAATAAGAAGAATTCAATATTTTAAGGAATGAAGAAAATAAATGTGTAATTCTTTTAAATTTAATTGAACTGACTTGACTCTGAAGCAGTTGTCTACAGGTGAGAGAAAGATATTTTGGAATAGGGAGCAACGAACTATGAAAATGCAGCAAAAACTGTGTTTTACATATGTCTTCCTTTTTCGAAATTTTAATAAAACATAATAGTACTGTGCAACAAAATTAATCTTTTTCATAATTTCAGGTAAATTAAGCAGGTTATAAAAGTAGAGCTAAAAATAGAAGACTCGTGAATCAGCGTTTTGAAAGATTACATCGCAAAGTAACCCAAATAGAGGGGGTAAGTTCGCACCTCCCCCTTCAACTTTTTTTTTTTAATTTTCAGGTTAGGATTTCATAGAATAGAATGGCTTTGACAATATTGCAGATAACAACACGAAGATCATTTTGGTCGAAAATTGTAATCCACAAGCGACTCTATGAAAGGGTCATATTGGTTGTCTTTTGAAAATGTATGTAAAAGATACCTTTATAAATATAGATATTTATAAAATAAAAAACCAATAAGGAAATTCGGGCGGGGCCGACTTTATGATACCCTACACCACTTTGCTAATTTTGTAGAGCTCCACATAACAATTAAAAGTTTTTATGGAAGAATTCAATCATACAGGCTATGATTATAATTATAATTTAAAGTTCAAAGGAATAAATATGCCGAAGCATTTGTATATTTTAAATTCGAACTTGTGTTGCCCATTTGGTGCACAAAATCGGATGAAAAAGTATATATGGGAGCTTTATCCAAATCTGAACCGATCTCGATAAAATTTTGCAAATATATTTCTGAGCTGTATTTGATATATTTCCCTGAATATCGTTGTTACAGAGTGCATATTACGGCTGCGGAGACAAAAACAACAAATCGGATGAAAAATATATATAAGAGTTATAGCTATGTGTGAATCGATTTCAATCAAATTTGGCACACTTATTTTCAGGCCTGATTTGGTTGTATGTGCAAAATTCCATACAATTCGGGCTGATATTACACGTTTGGTGCACAATAAAAGGCAAATCGGACGAAGATATAAATGGGAGCTATATCTAAATTTCAATAGGGCTCGTCCTTGGGCCAAACAAATGATCTGTGCAAAATTTCTTCTTGATCGGGCAATAAATACGACCTGTACATTGTTTACAAAAATACATGGACAGACGGACGGACGGACATGCATAAATCGACTCAGAATGTGATTCTATGCAGATCATCAAAAGGAACTATGGGTCTATCTCGTTTCCTTTTGCCTGTTACAAACAAATGCACAAAGACATAATACCCTGACCTCCTTGTGGTGTAGGGGATAACGAGGGTCAGTCTTACTTTGTAAGATATATGCTGGAATTTTCCAAATTCGTATTATGAGGGTACGAACTAAAAATTAATAAACTTAGACAGATGGAATGAGCTACCATTCTGAAATTTGGAATGACAGTCATTGAAGGAGTGCAGGATGGGTACCAAAGGAATTTTGAAAATTCGAACTTTAAGGTTACAAAAAGTTCGAAAATGGTACCAAATTTCTAATATTGTACCATTTGGTGTGATGTGAACGGATAGAGCTAAAAACTTGAAATTTGGTATAAGAATCAAATTTGGAAAGTAAGGTTGATATCTGAAAGTGGATGGGACTAAGTGTGCGAACTGTACTAAATGGTACTAAATTTGGAACAGTTTGACTTAGGATGAACGGATGAAGGTGAAAATTAGAAAAATTTTTTATTAGGGTTTCTGTTGGTAGTAGTTTACCGATAAAGAGGTGGTTTCGGAAAAGTGTACCAAAGAGTCGCTGTTCATGCGTAGCCGGAATATATGTTTCGGAAATGTGTGTCATTTTTGTACAAAAAGTACTGAATGGTACTATATTTGGTAGTGAGTAAAGGGATAGAGATGCAATTCTTAAATTTGTTACTTAGATTACTGATTATATTTGTGTTTGAGATTTGGCAGTGGTTTGGAAATCCGTCTTATATTTGTACGAAAAGAACAAAATGGTATTAAATTCGGTGAAGGAATAGAGCTGGAACCCTTAAATTAGATATTGAGGTGTCTGTTGGCATCTGGAATTGAGATATGAAGGTTGATTTGGAAATGTGTACTTGGTGTAAGAACTGTACTAAATGGTACTAAATATGCAACAATTTGTTTTGAGGTGAACGGATGAAGCTGGCATTTTGAAATTTTTTATAGGTGTCCCTGTTGGTGGTTGGCTTGTGATAAAGAGGTGTTTCTGGAAATGCGTACTACAAGTGAACGAAAAGTACTAAATAGTACTATATTTGGTACAATTTGGTATAGAGTGAACATATATTGCTTAAAAACTGACATTATATATTAGCATAGCTGATCATGCGTAGCCTGCACATATGGAGATGGTTTGTGAGATGTGTAGTATTATTGGGCGAAAGTACTTAATGGTACTAAATTTGTCCTTATTTTAAAGGATGGAGATAAAATTCTAAAAAATATTATATTCAAATTACTGATGATATCTGTGATTGAAATTTTACGGTGCTTTGGAAATGCGTCTCATATTTGTACGAAAAATCCTAGATGATACTAAATTTTCTATTTGGGAGAAGGAATAAGGCTGGAATTCTTAAATTTGACATTTAGGTCTCTGTTGGTATTTGGAATTGAGATATGAAGGTGGTTTAGGAAGTGTGTGCAATAGCTGTTCGGAAAGTACTAAAATTAACTAAATTTGGAATTGTGCGAAGGAAATTTGATATCGACGTCACTGAGGTTAAGATATGAAGGTGAATTTGGAAAAGTGTACTATAATTGTACGAAAAGTACTAAATGATACTAAATTTGGTATTGGGTGATAGGATAAGGCTTGAAATTCTGAAATTTGATAATTAGTTCTCTGTTGGAATTGTAATTGAGCTGTGAGATGATTTGGGAATGACTCCTATATTTGTATGAACAGTACTAAACAATACTAATTATGTTACTGGGTGAATGGATAGGGCTGAAATTCTCAAATTTGATATTGAGGTCTTTGTTGGTATCTGGAATTAATATTTGGAGGTGGTTTTGGAAATGTGTTTTATAATTATTTAAGAACCAAATTGAACTAAATTCGGAACTGATTTATACTAAAATTTCTAAATTTATAATTGAGATGAAAACCTAAAAAAAAAAACTGAAATTGTATATTGAAGTCTCTGGTGGTATCTGGAATTGAACTATGGAGGTGGTTTTGCAAATGCGTACTGAATAGTACTATTTATGGATCACTGCTGGTATATAGGCTGGAGAGATGAAGATTGTTTTTGATGTGCGTACTAAATGTTACTAAATTTGAAGGGTTAGGGCTGAAATTTGAATTTGAGGTCGCTGTTGGTTTCTAGGTTTCACATATGAAGACGACAAGGGTTTCCGAAAAAGGAAAACATAAATAATATACGATGTATTAAGTTTTGGTCGAAAAATACTGTCAAACGGAATAAATTTTGCATTTTGAGTACTTAAAAGACCAAACACAAACTATTAGAACGAATCTATAACTTTAAGGTGGACTTTTCGCTGACGAAGTACCGGGCACTTCCTAGTCTTAATTAAACGTCAGGAATTCATACATACACACATTATTGGGTTACAGCCGTATTTGATGTGAATTTATGCAAAAACTTTCCTACAAAGCACCATTTTGATTTAACGAAGACAAAAATATTCCTCATCAAATTTTATTAAAAATAACCAAAGAAAGCAGATCTTTATCTCCACTGCATATCAAAAAAATATTTCAAGTTTTGTTCCAAAAAAAAAAAAAAAAAAAAGAGTAGAAAAACCGAAAATATTTCCTAATTGATTCGTCAAATTTTCCTCAGCCTTTTTTCAAATTGAAGATATTATTAAATTTTTTCATGGGTAAAAGTGTGAAATTTTGTGGTCAACCTCTGCAGACTAAATTTTCAAGAAAATATTATTTTGCAGTTTTTGATTTAATTTCGAAGAAGTTAAACCTAAAACATAGAAAGGTTTATATATACAATGCAAGGGTACCTTCCAATTTTGAAGTTTGAAAGAATATAAGTTACATTCTTAATTTTTTCGCGTTGAGTAGGGTTTTCTTTATTAAATATTTTTATCGTTTTAGGGTTCCAACCAACGGTTTTAAAAATGTTCCCATTTAAGCTCTGCATCTACTGCATTTAGATTTTATAAAATTAAAAATTAATTATAGCAATGCGCTATTTACAGATAAATGTTAAAGTAAAACTATTTTTCTACTTTATATCAGTAAAGAGCATAAATAATATACCAATAGCGCCATTATGAACTCAACACATCCTGCCAAGGGCGCTAAGATACCCTTGGGTAGTTTTTGCAATCTTCAAACAATGTCATCGTCTTCACATCACTTACAAAACTTTATTTGCATTGCAGTTGTCGATAAAAGAAAGAAAGAAGAACGACAGAAAATTCGACACAATTCCTTTTTTTCGGTTGAAACTTTTCTCGCTACTGTCGACAATTTTTATAGAATGAGTAATCAAAATTGTTGGTTTTTTTTCTGAATTCGATTGTGCCTCATAGTTCAATATACCATCGCCGACAGTGGATGGCAGATAGAGAGAGAGAGACAAAGAGAGGAAGGCAAAAAACTAAAGTAAAGGTTTCATTACTTCAATATTTATGGAGTTGTCATGATCTCGTTTCAATCGTTTTTTTTTTGTTCTTCCTTGTGTGTCTCAACCGCTAGACGTAAATGGGAAACTATATACCCCATATTAAATTATGAGCATGCTGCGTTTTTTTCTTTCTCCCTTTCCAGAAAATTCAATTCAATTGTCCAAAAAATGTGATTTATAGAATTTTTAATGTGTCGAACATTCCGGGATGTGTTTTTTGTGTTTGTGGTTTGCCTAGGTTTGTCGGCG